ATTTTTATTAATTAAAAAATTCAACGCAGTGTGTAATCACTCGATGTTTGTAATTTACAACGTTACGTTTAATGCTCGGATACATTTAATTATTAAAATTGATAAAATTTTTAACAGAAAACATTTGTTAGACATGTTAGACATGCTTAAAATTTGAAAATTGTTCATAAAGACACTAATGAAGCTAAAATTTGAGACAAACGTGTTCAAAATAACATATTAATCATATTAACTAAAAATTACCGTAAATTAATTAAATAGATTCAGAAAAAAAACTAAACTATCTAAAAAAAAAAAAAGAAAAAATCAGCTTTTACTAACAATTAAAACTTGAATTTATTTGTCTTTCTCAGCGTCTCTCGAAACTTTTTGATCTGGCTAAAGAGGTGATGTTTTGTAGTGAGTTTGCAAAGAGTATAAAGACTCTGTTTTACTTAAATTAGTGGACGTCGGGTAGTTTGATCCTCTCGGCAGTCTCAACACGTGAGAATATATAAACTCTCTTTATCTCTATCTCTTTCTCTTTGGTTTTCTCTTCTACTTTGGTGGCGTTTAAGCGTGGTATGATGCTTTCTCTTTTCATTTCCCGTAGCAAGTTCATAAAACCCTTGATGAACTTGCACCGGCTGTAGCCACGCGAGTGCTGCAGTTGAAAGCTAGTCAATATAATGACCATACCAAAGGGTTCATAGAGCTATAAAGAGTATTAAAAACGGAGAAAGAAAATATTTAATTAACAAAGAAAATAAATAAATAAAAAAAATGTGTTTTTTTTTTTCTCCATGTCATCATTTACCAAAATTCCTTCAGCGTGTAAAGGGAAAATTAAAAGGAAAATATTAATAAAAGATCCTCCAATATTTCCTGACGAAGCAAAGTAAAATTGCTCGAACGGTCTTTTTTCATACTTCTTTCTTTCGTCTCGCATCTCATGCAAATTTTTTCTATATCCAGTTCCACGAAAATTCTCTATATAGACAGTGCAAAAAAGAAAAGTAATTTCAGTGATATGAAAAGAGAAAGAAAGAAAATTAAAAAAACACCTAAGCAAGAATAATAAAACGAGAAAGAAAAGAATAAAATGAGATTCACGAAACTCTCGAGGGCACTTCTTGGCGGTCGAAAGTTAAATGCGACGTGAAAAGTACTATCCGAGCTTATAGATATCGAAAGCCTTTTCAAATAACGCGGCTACTTCTTCGGTACTTTTATTTTTAATTTCATTTTTTACCCTTACTCTTCTTCTCTACTCTATGTCCTACATTCATAGTCGAGTCGGAAGGTACGGTACTGTAAAACATGTACAGAGTTTCAGAGAAACTCCAAACAACAACAACAACAAATACAACCAATACTTAAATTTATACACAGAGAAACGTGCAAAAAACCCTGAAATATAAAGTTAGGCAAACCGAGACTAGCATAGAGAACCACCAACAGAGAACAACGGGATGAAGTTGAGTGCTGTAAGAAAGGGGACATACGAGTGTAAGAAACGCTCTGAGGAATCATATGCACCTGCGGCAGTTTCTGCGACAGTTTGATATACGAGCACGTTTTCTCGGAAAATCTACAGCGAGATAGATATCAAGCCCGGGTTGTTGCAAAAAAATATTTCTCACCATAATCCTTCTTCTTCGCGTGTAAAAATTTTTTTCATATTCACAGTTGTTATTATAATATAATGGCAATAATTTTTTTTGCTCCATTCACTAATAATATGAATAGTAATAAATCTTGTGAATTAAACTCAATGCAATTGTTTAATTTGAGGGTCAACATGGAAAATTAAGTTTTCCAAAATTTTATAATCAATTTTTTATCAATACCATCAAATAAAAATATGGTAGAAAATTTTAACGTGAAAATTTGAAATTTTTTTGATTTATAAATTGAAAAAACTTATTGCTAATAATTTATCAGAAATAAATGAAAATTTTTTTATTTATAAGTTGTTTTGTTTATAAACAATCACCGTTATTTAATTAAAATAATTGTAGAAGGAACTGCACCTGTTTAATTTCTTAGTAAATTCCTTGCTCAGTTAAGAAAATTCTTGTGTCTTGGAACTATTTCCGTACAATTCCCATTATTTATTTTTAAATATAATTATAGATTTAGCTGTAAATGGTGTCAACATCTTTGATGATTAAGGAATAATTAGCCATATTGTTACGATTAATTGTCACTGAGTTTGAAGTAAAAAATAAAATAAAAAGAGGTAAAGTATTGTAGATTTGAAATAACACGCGCGACTTGTCACAAGCTCGATCGCGGACTAAAAGCTACAACGTCGCTCCGACCGACAGCGTAACAGAACGTACGATGACGCAGGACGTACTGAAGGGTCGCGCGTCGCGGATATCAGATATATACACCATACCGTACACGATATCAGCTATGTACTGCTGGACGTTGTTATATTACTTCTCTACTACTGAGTAAGTGAGAGACGGAAAAGAGCGGCGCCGATGGGACGCTAAATTCGTCGCTTGGATACCACGCATGCGCAAGATCAATTCATCCCCTCGGTTTTGCAAGTAGTATTACTCGGTTTAAATTATGGTGGGTTTCCTAAGAACAGTCAGACAAAGAATACAGCTGGTAATTTTTGTTTTTTGTTACACGGCATATTTATCAATTATACATTTATCATTCATACATTGAATTGTTCAATAAAACTTAATAATATGTATGAAAAATTTAAAACATTAAAATATTATAGTAACACAAAAAAATATTGTCGATGTGTATTTTGGCTTCTGGTTGAAAATAATTTATTCGACAATAACTTAACTACAATATTACATTACGAACCTGCTTTGCAATTAAAAAGTTAATGAAGGAAAAGAGTAAAATTAGTGTTAAAAAGTAAAGTTTATGTTTTCTAAAAAATTCTAAACAACTTTAAAGCACAGTTCTACAATAAGAACTAATTATTTTATTTTTTTTTTTTTCCGAATAATAAACAAGGTGCAGAAAATAAGGAATTAAAAATTAAAATTACCGCCAACAGGTGCGACTGAAGTAAAGTAAAGCTTTTGCTGGTACATGTCCAATAGTCAGCTTGAGAGGACCTTTTTTCCACCTCACTCTCATTTCTCACAGGGTCACAACTATGCACAAAAAAAAAAGACTAAAGAAACTCAATAACTCTCTTACTTATGCAGCAATAAAAACACATGATCAAATAATCATCTGTACTCCAAAAGAGACACACATCTATGTGTCTTAGTGATAATAAAAGTCTATAAAACTGCAATAAAATTTTATTTATTTTTTTTAAGCTTGAGTATTTTCTAATACGTCAATTTCTTTTATTAAAAAAAAAAAAAAGGGATCACTCACAACCCGTGGGAGTAACCTGTTCACTTTTTACGATCAACGACTCGTCGATCGGATTTTTCTCTTTACTTCTTAAGGTACACCACATCCTTCCTATGTCGTTTGTGCTTAACAACAAGGGACTTCACTAGCCTCGAAGGAACATGAACTACTATACCTTTCGACCCGTCAGAAAGTGGATTACGGTCAACTGGAAGCTTCTGAAAAGGCCAACCGTGAAAAATCGAGTTGATATATTTTTTTTATTCTGCCAATCAATTTTTAAAATAAATTGATTTTACATTTTCAATCAATTATAATAATTTTACATTTTATACAATTATAATAATTGTAAACAGCACTTTTGCTTTCTTTGACTTCGATAAGTGCCTTTGAGTAACTTACAAAAGCTAGTTCTTCTTATGCACCGATTGGATAACACGAAAGACGAGTTTTGGAGTCATCTACAAAATGTTTCTTCTTTGATAAATTTGAAGCAGTAGTGTAAGAAGACTACTCGAGAAATTTCATACAGTCTTGTTATAAATTTATCAACATTTAGAACAAGACTAATGGGTAAAGTGACAAATAACTCACTTTTACTCAAAGCATAAACGGGGTATTTACATTTGAATATCCCATTTAATAGACCAGTGATGTGAATAATGATTCATTAGGTAATAATGTTCGTAGGTAGTGAGTGAATTGACTTAATCACACCGATTAGACGGTGTATCAGGAGACTAGTCAGTTACAACGACGAGTACATTGTCTAACTATGACTGCAACGTCGATGTCAATGGGGGCGATGTACCAAACGAAGTTTCGATTAGTACCGAGCTATATAACTAAGGTCACTGAGGTTCAATAGACCACGATAATTCTCTCATGATCCCATGATATTCCTAAGACACTTTAATTTTATTATTTATTATCATAAACATGTAATCGTCAATGTGAATAAATAATGAATCATCTATTTTTAGGAAAGATATTTATAACGTAAATATTCAATATTATCGGAATAATCTGTTTAGATTTACATATAATTAATCTTAGACGCATTGAGATTAAAATTTGCATCAAACCTTGTGCTTGTGACTTTGTTATGATAATAAAGATTGATTTTGATTATTGAAGCTAGCTAGTTTATCGGATAGAATGTATAATATTATTATGGATTGAAATATAATATGTTATGGAAAAATAAAAACTATGAACAATTATATTTTTATTTTCATATACAACCTGTTGTGGTGACCTTGATCTTTTGGTAATTCTTTCATTGTCATCCCTTGATTGTATTGGCATTCATTACTTGCCTCATTACGTAATAATTGTTGGCTTACATATATTTGTAGCTGATGTATAAATGAATAAATATGAGTGGTTTATAAAATATATACATCGATTCTTACATAATGCTATTGATATGATCAATTATAAATAAATTAAGTGAACTGATGGACTAAACTTCTTTAAATCAAAAATAGCTTTTACATCAGAGATTAAAAATCAATAAACTCCAAGCATTAGATAAAATATCGATTACTCTTTTAAACAGTATCGTATCTATTTCTAAACAATTCTGTTACTAAACTTAATTAAAACGTTACCAAGTGAATTAAAGCTGTTTAATCAATTTATTAAAAATAATTTTATCCGCACAACTAAAAATGACGCTAAAAATTTTTTCGAAACTTTTCACTTTTCTCATGGTACTAAATAACGTTCAAACTTTTAATTTGACCGACATTTATGATCTCAATTCAATAAACCATTTTTTCGATGATATCTCGACGAAAGTAAAAAATGAGTATCTTTCTAATGAATTAATAACTGACGGTGAAAAGAATATTATTTTAAACAAAATCGTGATTGATTTGATTGGAATACTTACAAAATTAGACGACATAAAAAGTGACTTTGATGATAATTATTTGACCCAAGAATTCGATGGTTTGATGAAATCGTTTGAAATTTATAACTCTAAACTTCGAGATTTTGAATCGTATTCGTCTTTAATTGCGCGCAAAAAAATTATAGACGAAAAACGTTATACAATCGAAACTTATGTCAAATGGATAGTTTCTTTTCAAAACGATACAGAGTTACAAAGTTTAATAAATTTTTGTCCATTTATATCGAAAAGTATTGAACTTATTGACAGTGTTTTTCATTCTGATTCCATCGCTGAAGTATTAAATGAGTTGATTGATAACATTTCGAAGAAAATAGAGGTTAGTCGGAACACTTAATTTATCATCATCGAATAATTTTAATTAACACTATTTAAACAGACTAACCAGTACAATATTTGTGGTCAACGAAGCTCATTAAATGAAGGATGGTTTTTCTACTATCGTCAAACAATGACTGCTTTTCTCAAAAAAATGGTGATCTATTACTATTTCGGAGTTATAGACGCAAGATGTAAAAATGGTAATTGTAGTAACACAAAAAAAAAAAAGTGTTATTCAGATTAAATCTTCATATTTATCAATGATTAGAAATTAAAAAAGTATTTTTGCTTCATATTTTAGAACAACAAAATGATGCTATGACATTTTTGAAGACAAATTCAATCGAAATTTTAACAAAGAGTCTAAAGTCGTCAAAGCAGTTACAACAAATGAATTATTATATGTATCAATGTGATGCATTTGATCTCAAAAAAGGTGATTATATTAGTACTTATGAACTAAGGCAAATAAGTAACTGCTCTTAAAAATATGTTGGTCTATTAACTTTCGATGAGTATGTTAATATTGTTAATTAGAATGAAAATTAATTTAGGTAAAATCTATGGAGGATATTATCAATTGGAAAGGATGATTCAGACAATGGTAATTAACGAAAAAGATTTAAGTGCTGATCAATCATGTTGGCATAATTGTAAACTTAATAAAATGGAAGGTAACATAAATCATACGGAATGTAAAGAATTTTATGACTGTCGCTTTATGAGCTATGGTTTTCATATGTGCAATGTAAGTATTAAGTATTTTGATATGAAAAAATGATTACGGATTGAAGAGTTACTTATTTCGATGTAGGAGAAAAAAGAAAGTACAAGACGCTACCAATGGTTCAAAGATAACCATGATATTCATTTTGGCCCAGGACGTGAAAAAAAATGTAACAGAAAAATTGAATTACTCGGCAGTTACATTGACCTTCTCCAACTGCGTCATTGCGATTACTGTGTATGCACTTGTGTAATACAACCGAAGCGATCTAACAATGTTGTCACGGCTATCAGCTTTAGAGATCAAGTAACAAATATCTATGAAAACATGTTAAGTATTGATAATCATTAGTGCAATTCATGAAAAGCAGAAATAATTATCAAAAACGCATTAACAATATTTTTTGTAGGGTTGTTGTCGGTGTACGATTTGTGAAGAAAGACTTCATGATCCATATTCAAATAAAAGAAAGGCCACTGAGAAGACGTGGATTGAATGACTCAGGTTCTTGGAAAGAGCTGGAAAGTTTCGATGTCAATGAGCAGACTGGAAGATTTGTTTTGATTAATAACAACACCGAAAGTCCACTGTTTGTCGGGATTGACTATGGAAACCCGAGGATCATTAACTTTGATGATTTAATTGCACCTAAAGGTTTTGTTGTAACAGGTGTTAGATTAGGATTCGTAGAAAATACACTCGATTATCGACAATTCAAGACAAAACCTATTGAACTACAAATTAGAGTAACCCCATTCGATTATATTCAAGGACAGCTTATTGATCTTCATAGAACATATTGGATAGCTCTGGAACATCAAAGTCACCATGACAGGTATAAAATTCTTTTTTTTTTGTTCCATTTTATTTTATTTAATTAGGTATTGAATAAGTCTTATTTAGGTCGTCGGAAAAGCATTATTAATCTTTTCGATTAAAACAGTCTTTCTGTTACAATCAGAATCATGAAGTAAAAATTTGTTTAGATGTAGAACTCTACTGTTTTTTACTTATAAAAATTTTATTTCAGAAAACATTTAAATCTTCCACATCCTGATGACCCTACAAAGTCATCAGAAAATGTAATTGACTCAAAAACAAACCAATTTATAAAATTTCGAGCTTCTGATTTAAAGAAAGATGCCGGACAATCAACTGTGCCATTTTTTGATGCCTTGGAAGCAGAAGGTGACCCTAATTTTCCTTTGGGAGGAATTGGAATCATTCATCGTGGACAGAAAGGATTCGGTGGATTTTTGGCATTAAAAATTTTTGAGTTAGATCTTTCTAAGTACTTCAAAACATAATCTAATGCTATTGAAGATATTGGTGATGTTTTAATTTTTACGCATGTGCTTATAAAAATAAATAAAGTTCATTGCTCCGAACTTTTCTTTTATACCTCTGATAAAAATATTCTTTGGTCATTGATTTTCATAGCAGGAAGTTAACAATATTTTTAAAACCGATAAATATTCATAAAATAACATAATCTTCTCACTATCCGTCAAGGAAGCAATAAACCAATAAAAAAAAAAAAATAATTTCGATACAATTTCGATCGTCAATTAAGTAAAATAAAAAAAAGTATCAAAAAATGAAGTGTCAAAGAGAAGAAAATGTGCCAAATTCAATTTTTCTGTCGTTCAGTAAAGTAAAATCATTTTATTGTGTTCATATTTCTTCAAGAATACATATCACTCATGAATTTGTTATTCACAATATATATTCATAGAAGTACGCATGGAAAAACTATATCATTTATTTATTTATTTTTTTTTTTTATTTACAGACATTACTTTTTCTCTTTATGTCAATCGTGTTATTTTAACTGACATCGTCGATTTTACTGATCGATAGTGTCATGAGCACGTATACGCTGAATATTTAGTTTATGATATAGTTTTATGATTGTAAATATATAGTCACAGGGGACAAAAAATTCTGTTATTATTGAAAAAAAATCAACCTGGATGTTTTACGAACAGGATTTAATAATTAACCATTTCAAGGCTTTTAAAGTCTTTCGAACATTATTTATTGTCAAAAAAATATAGCTATGAACGAATAAAACATCGTGCATTTTATTATTTTGTGAAAGTACAATTCTAAAAAAGTCATTATCGTAGTTTTTCTCTTGTTTTATGTAATGTACTAACAATCGAATGTTTGTTTATAAAACGCAATAAACATGGCTATAAAACAGTTTGTACTTGGTTAAATATATTTATAGAGCTTTCGGTACTAAAGTAAACACACATAAATTGCAATTATTTTGCTACTCTCTGTTATTAGAATATTATTTATTATCCGATAGATTAATTTTACTATTTTTAGGTTTTTTTTTTTTTTCATCAAGCTCAAGGATAATTAGAACTTTATGATACATTTGGAACGGAATGATAAATTTGAAGAGAGTAAGAGAAACTATATTTTCAATTTCATCCGCCTGTTATTTGAGCCATAGCGGAAACACGTTGAGATAGATTTTGAGTAAACGCAATATTCCAATATTATATACTCGTAGCCCGAAGGAAACTCATGATTTGAATTTGAATACTCACATGTAAGCTATGAATTATAATTCATAGATATATATATATATATATTTTACGGAAAATAACCTCCTACAACGAAACGGTCTGTAACGGAATTTATTTTCATTCATACGTTTGCATCAAAGATAATAAATAAGGATAAATAACAGTAACAAAGACAATTTTTATGCTAATAATTAAACAAATAGCGACATAATTTTAATTCTGAATATTTCACGGCATTTATCTACTCAGATGACAAATATAAAGCCCATACAAAACTTTATGGGGAATGTAGCCTTAAAAATCGTTTATCATGAATACTAATTGCGTGTTAGAAAAAAAGATACAGCAGTAATTTTTTGATATTTACAATGAATATAACTTGATACATAAATATAGCTGCTTATCTCAGGAAACTGTCAGTAATTTCAACCGAACTTTGTTTTTTATGAAAGCTGAATTTAACTTTTAAAGTACATAACTAAACTCGTAACATGGTACTTGTTTATAAATAAGGATAAGACATGAGAAGTAAGATGATAATCCTCTGAGAATCCGTGGATAAGTTCTTGAAACACGTACTACGTCTTTCGTTATTCTATTTATTTTTAGAAACAAAAAAAAATTAATTATTAGATCTCAAAAAATTACAAATTTCATGAAATTGTTCTGCACTTTTGAAAGTAAAAATAAAAACAACGTATTGGATAATTTTTGATTCTATCCAAAGAAGCAACATTTTGGAATAAGGAAATTCAATAGTAAGGACAAATAAGGTATACTATAAAAGTATATTGAAAGTGTACGGATGAAAGAATAAAAAACGGTAGAAGAGGCTGACGATTGAATAAACCTAGAGGGTGTAAATATTGATGTAACGTGTGCTATCCGATCTATAGAGTAAACGCTTCAGGGGGTAGATTTACCCTTCAGGGTTAGTAGCCAACTGGAAGAGAGCTGGAAATACCGGTGAGACTGATGGCGATGACGGCTGACTGATGGGACGCCTCGTACTCAGTACTTTCATCCCTTTGTGTTACTCTGTCTTACTCTTTCTTCCTATATTCTGAACTATGTGCTTTGCTTTCACGTTCATTTCTCGCTTGGATATATATTGGATATCAATAACAGTGTCAGGATCTGTACAACTTCAAAACTCAGGTCGAATGATACAATATATCTCAGGAATTTTTCGTCTATTTACTTTTTTTATTAACTTTTAAATCTCGAATTTAGACAAGCTTCTGGTATGATTGGATAAAAAAAAAAAAGATCACATATTTTTGTGACTTATTGCAAACAAAATTTTTAATCAAAAAAAGGAAAGTAATAATAATCAATTGAAGCTGAGAATTATATCCTCGTTGGTCTAAGAAGAAATTGACTTTTCTATAAACTTAAATCAAAGATAGAATTTATATCTCCGTAGATCTAAATTATTCCTCTGCAGTCATAGTTTTTAATTCTATTTAGTGTGATGAATGGACCGTTCCGATAGTAAAATGAATTATTAATTTAAAAAAATAAAAGATATTTAATTGGAGTTAAAACATCTTATAAGAGATTATTTAACATTTAACTCACGGAACACGTTTTAGGTATTCGTAAAAGTTTTATTTACGAGTAAAGACTCAGGAATGAGCCCTATAATCTGTATAGAGTGGATTAGTTGGTGTATAGCTCTGGACTTAACTTCGTTATTCTGCAGTAACTTTGATCTGGCATTTTAAACTGCATATCTTCCATTAGCAAACGTTGTATAATATAAATATCAAGCTTTGAATAGTTCTTTTCTGATTTGAAGACGTTCGTTAATGATAGTAGACAAACGACTATATCAAAATGTAAATAATTTATATTTGATTACTCCTAGCGTAGTTTGTATTTATTGATAAACAAATTTTTATAAAAATTAAGTTGTAATCTAAAGAAAACCAGGGTATTCAATTTAATTCAATGTTACAAAGTCCATGACGTGTTAAATCAGCGTAGTATAAATATATGTAAACAATGATTTTATAATCGACTTTTATGCTCTTTATTTTTTGATTTACTCATTAATAAAGTATATTAAATCATAATTAGTAACACGAGAACGTTGAGATTTGAATCAAGATTAAACTCTTTTTTAATGACAATAATTTATTAGATTTGACTCTAAAACAGTGCTGATTATGAATTTATAATAGTATAATTGCATAATTTACATTAAAGATAAAAGATATAATAGAAATCCACACGCTCAAATCGTAAGAAAACATTGTGATAAAATTGTGCAATATCAACCGAGTATTTGAAGTTTTGTCTGTCAGTTTCACTCTTGGTCAGTTTTGTTGAGATAAAATTGAACTGCAATAATCAGATACGTTACAGTTGTACCAGAAATCTGAAAAATAATTAAAAAAAAATGGTTTGTCACAATTTCACCACAAAAAATATCATTTTTTAAGCTTACGATTGTAAGAAGAGAACAATCCAAAGGTACAATGTCGCAAAGTGTGAACTCTACCTTCATGTGCCAGAGATCACTTGAAAACTTGGACAACTGCAATTAGAAATTGACGTCAGATGACTTGAGATTTAGATCAATAGATTGACTTACTTTCTCTGTTATTGCTTGATTGATTGTGAATTGATCCAAAAGCTGATTGATGATCCTAGACGTTTCTTCATTCTGAAAATATATAGCGATGCAAATTTATAATTTGGGTCAGAAATAACAAATCATTAATGAGCTAACTTATAAGATTCATACCTGTTTCAGAAGTCTCGTCACACTAGTAGTCAATGTTGTGAATAAGAAAAACGTTTGCACTGCAAATATTCCAGAGCAGTAAAATAAATTTTGCATCTCAATTTCAGAAAGAAATACCAAAATTATCTCATAATAGTTGCTTATGTTTCTGATAGAAAATAAAATAATTACAATCAACGTAGGAATTCCATAAAAGTCAGCAGTGTTATCGCACATATCACACAGTTCAAAGTATGCGAACTTAATGCTGCTAATGTCGTTGAAAATCGTTCTATGCATAGAACTTTTTAACTTCAGAAGCGTCACATTAATACTTTTGAACCGTTTCTCAATCATGTTCATTATCATTGCATATTGAACTATCAGAATACTTCCGAAAATCATTGGTATCAACATAGAAATTATTTCCACCCATAAGCTTTCAAATATTAGCATAAATACAATCCAACAATATATTAACACATTATTTATAATGAATGTCCAATAATTAATATTATTTTGAACCAGTTTATAATCTAAGCAGCTCATAAGTTCGTTATCGACATCTTTGATTTGATTTTTAACACTGATGAGTATCTTTTGTCGAATGACGTAAATTACCGGTATTACACTAATACAAAGTATCGAAAAAAAGGCAAACTTTATTGATACTGGTGCTTTATTTGTCTCGTTTAAATTCTTCTTAATAATAAAAATATCACACAGAACATAAAATACAACCAGCAGAATGTTATAACCTGATCCTATGATTGATAATTTGTAAGAAAAAGTAGTCAATTGAGTACAGAATAGATTTTTGCGAAATATGCTGACAGTGTCCATTTTCCATGATGATAATCCAATTAGTTTCGAAGTAAAGTGTTCAGCAAACAATAAATACGCGTAAAACCGCGAATTTTCAGAAGTATCACTCATTATTGCTATTAGTAGCTTGCCTGTTTGGTATGTTTGCTTTAATGTCACTCTTATTTTATTGCCAACAAACAGCATGCTGTATTTTATTTTATATCTGCAACTAATCTTTTTTATGACAATTATAACTTATTACGATAATTATTGCATATTTTATTTATTTTGCTACAATGTCGTTGTTAGCTTTATGTAAATGAGAAGTTGCATGCAAACATGGGGAGAAACAATAGGTGTTATTCCGATTTTCCGATATATAGGAATAATAGGCATGATTTCATGATGATAAAGCCATTAAAGCACAAATATTTCTCGATTTTGTATTGCAGACAATTGTCTTTTACGATACAATATCAAGATTCTCTTTACCACTTTTAGATAGTTGGGTAAATAAATATCCACTTTAACGGTATCTTTGATTGCTTTTAGTTCGCAATTATGATATCGTAAAACTTCAAAATTGCAGAAAAAAGTAAACATTTGAAACTATCTTTCACGCGAGGGGAAAACTTATTCTGTCCGATGCAATGTATTAATGATGCAATGCGGTTTGGCAAGAAATTATTTTATAAAATTTGTTTTTCATACATATTAGCTTTGTGGACTAAAATTTGACTATTATTTTCAATAATAATACATAGAATATCAGTTTTTTTTATATATTAAGCCACGTTATTTCCGTAATATTTTAATATGATCCCAAATCTGACTATACGCAATATTAAGTCCATTAAAGCTAGATAATGCTTTAGAGATTCCATTAGTACATCAATTCAATTTGATGGAATCAATATTTAAAATAGCTAATGGAACAACCGAGGGTTTAAGAGTCCACTCGATTCGAATAGACTTTTCAGAGAGAGGGTAATATTATCCAGGGGGAGCATTGCAATGTTTAAGAAGGGTTAAATTAAATCCAGCTAGAATGCTCGGGAAATTGCACTTACGAGAAAAGTTAATTGATAAACCATATTCCTAAATTGCGGTTACTAAATTGATCCAAATCTTTTTTTACATTCTATTGTAAGTAAATATTCAAAGTAAAGCTGATTTTTACTATTAATCTCGATAATCGAGGTTGATTGTATGAAACGAGTAATAGAGCTCTAGAAATTAAAGCTCTGTAAATTTTCCCTCGTATAAATTACTCGTGATATGATTTACTGGGCAATTCAAATATCGGACGTTGAGATAGAGAAGTTAGCATATATTTGAATATATTCTGGTGAATTATGGAACTTTATTAAGATCATCAGAATGTTATTTTATTTTTTTTAAATAATTGCGAAATAAAAAGCTTCTTTTGATAAACTTGACAAAAAGTCAAAGTTAAAAATCAAAAAAGCAAATGCTGCATAAATATGCATTTGTAAATGATAAAATAAAATAGGGGATGTCGTAAATAAAATTTTCCATAGCATCGCTGAGCATCACTGTACGACGAGACAAGTAGTTGTGTTGTCGGAGACGGAATTGTGCGTGGATCAATAAATCGCGCGTGGAATGGAACGGAACAGTTTGTCGGAGACGCAAGAGCGTAGAAACAAGAGAGAGAAAGAGAAAGAGAAATTATTGTAGACAGAAGAGAGATGAGCTTTTGTCGACGGTCCAGCTCAGCTTCGGCTTAGCTATATTTGGGGTCGTCAGAGTTAGAGTCAACCGATTTCCGTGCGTGGTATGGTCTAGATCCTACAGTCCCTGTGGCGCCGACATGTTTCACTCTGTTTCCCCACTGCATGGCTCTCCTTTTATCCTCATTTATCTATTAATCCGAACATCCATCTCTTCCGGAGCTATGTTACATCTATTCGTGCCACTTGCTGTGAATTTCACTTGGATTACTATACGTTATAATCATTTTGAATTTACGAATAATTCAATTGTCCACATTTTTTTTTTTTTTTACCTTTTATTTTATTAAATTTTATTTTCAATTATTTTAAAAGCTTACAGAATTTTTTCATCCAATGTAATTGTGATTTAAAGTGGAAAACGGTGTAAAAATAAAATTTGCCGTTTAATAAAAATATCATTTTTTTTTTTTTCTTATACTCTCGAAATATACCAGCTAATATGCATGTATACGAACATAAATGTAAGCTGTTGGACCTGTAGTACGGATAAAGAATCGTTTTGAAAATAGGTCAGTACAACGGGATTTAGAGGCTAATCGGAAGTAATCCATGTGCTTTTGTACATGTGTACGTACTGTGTATATGTATATTAGTTAAAAAAAATCTATAGAGAGGAAATATATGTCACCGACAATTTTTACTACGGTACAAGTGCATGCGATGTAATTGAAAAATTTTAATTGACCCAAATTAAAGACTTTTATTATATATTTAAAAAATTTATAAGCTTTCATTATTAAATACCGTCTAAAAAATAAAGATTATAATCAACAAAGATCTTAATCCTCTCTAGATCTCAATATACCAATTTTAATTGATTGTTAATTCACATAAAATCGCAATCATTTTTAATCTGTCTATTAAACCAATTAAATCAATTGAATTAGCAAATAACAACCAAATGTAAATTAGATTGATAAATACTTAAGAACCGATAAAGCTGATCTTTGGTTTACTCTATAAATTTATAACAAACTATTCAACGATGAAACTGGTCGTATCGAAGAAGAACAGCAGTTGCGTCTGCTCAATTTGCATGGGAAATGGTCGAAGATATCGTACATCCTCTGACCCAATAATACCCCGCGACTGTCTCTTCTCTTGCAAGCCACTGGAATTCAATTACGTCAACGTGGAACAGAGCCAGCAGTTGGCAAAATCCCACTCACAACCGCACAATAAATCCTTCTCCGAACATGTTTTCGTCAACTCCATCGATTTAAACAATACATCGAATTTATTACATCGTATGCTGTAAAACTGATTGCTATTGTAGATTAATAACAACCCTTATTAATTGTTTTCACTAGACCGTTTATAATTACATCCTTCTTAATGGAAGCTTAAAACAATATTGTACTAATTCATTAAATCCATTGTCATATACTGCTACGGTAGCAAGAATATGAACCCTTTCATTGGATTCGTTGTTATATTTTGATTAAATCGAACAAACGTTTTTTTATACTATTTTATAAAAATAATAAAAAAACAATTTATGAATTATTAAAAAATTATCACTAATCAATAAAATTATCACAATTTTTAAAAATTTATAATTTTCTTAGCGTGGAGTTGAAAAACGATCAAAACATTAAAATCATTGCACCGAATCAACAAATTTTCATCCCAAACTTCGCTAACTCAATTATCCTGGCAATAAAAAAAAAAAAAAACAAACAAAATGTAAAAATCCATTTAACATTGATGTCTATTATAGCTTGTAAAATATCCAATTCATTTGTTTTGTAAAAAATTGAATACTTTGGTATAAGCGCATCGCATATCACGTCAGCAAACATAGTTTTGTCCAGTTTATCTCAACTGCATATACACATCTATATATTTTGCATGTTCATTCTCTACTCACTTCATTTCTCTGGATTTTTTGTTTTTAAAAATCAAAAAGACTTGGAGCGTTGCCAATCCACACTGTGTCTCGTCGACATTGTTCTCGTTGTTCTCAGTCGCGTGTATATCTTTTGCCTCTAGCCTCGATTATGTTTTTTTTATGGTATATTTTTTTTCATTATTTCAAACATCTCTAGTACACGCGAAAATCTAAAAGAATGATTATTCCAAGCTTTCACAAAAAATTCTTTCCTCACAATGACACTGTGAAAGAGATGACTTGCTTTTCTACATTTTTATTTTTTTACAACTCTATCTCTTTCAATGTACCTCCTTTTGCCTGGCATCACCTCAACTTTCTAAGGGAAAGTCGAAATGCAAACTCAAGAATATAGTTTGCCCTCAAGGTACAAGTGAGCTTAGCAAAAGAGCATTGGTTGCATTTCGAAATAGGATTGAATCGACCATTACTACGGCAAAATGCCACGAGACTTATCGATTTTGCTAACGTAATCATGTCCCTTATTGTCTTACTTTCCTATTTTTTTCTTCTGTTATCATTATCAAGGATCTCGAAGCAAGAAACCCCTCCAGGAGAAATACAAAACAAAGAATAAATACAACCACGTGAATTGTCCTAGGAAAATGTTCCAAACAATGTCGTGGCTTTAATATTAATTAAAAACAAAGTTAGACTGCTTTTCAAAACTAACATCCTATTTATTTCAACAACCTTTTCATTCTACCGCCTCTACCGAGGGGTTACTTCAACTCCTGTACTTTCATTATTGAATGCAAATGTAAGGTTCTACCTTTGTTAGTCACTATTTTTTAATTCAAGGATTTTCCTAACCTTCCATCCAGTAATGACCTTCATAATTCCAAAATTGACATTTGATCGGCTCTTATAAATAATTGATGTTGCCCTTTACTCTTCCATGCTATGCATTTGTCTACAATCATTCTCAGTAGATGTGACGCGAGACTTTACAGCCCTTCGTATAATCCAAAAATTTATAAGTAACATTGTGAATTCATATCAAAACTGCCGCTCAGTTCATTGAATGATGTAAATAATGAACACTGATATCAAGCGACACCCTCGTTGAGATTGCATGCACGATCACGACTACCGTAATTTGTGACTTCCAATCTCTCATTTGCAATGTACTACATATCTCACTTTCACGATTCTCCAGCCAGCATCTCTGAACTGTCAGGTATATGACAAGAGATTCTGTTTAATGGACATTGAGATAACCGTCAAGTGTAAGTAGACGTATGCTCCTATTGTCATTTCATCAGACAAAGTAAACCATCAATTGTTATATACCCTTACATCATATCATTCATGATCTTTTGATAATATTCCATCATTCTGTAAAAAAAAAAAAATTCTCTAATGTGACTTGTTTTGTATTTATAGAGTTTTTGACATGTTCTAATACTACCAGATATTTTTTTCTCAAGTTTTTTTTTTTATTAAAAATCATTGTATTGTTATAGTGGTTAATGAAAATGAGAGTAGCGAGTGTTTATTTGAGCACTTGGCCAGAAACATGAAGCTATATTTACGTGGACAAAGATACTTGAGAT